GCCAAGTGGAGGGGAAAGATACGTGGTCCCAACAGCATCAGGGAGCCTGTTTGTGCTTGTTTCATTGAGGAAATTGTTCCGGAACAGCTGTTCATCCATGTGAAAATGCAAACCCTTGAGTCCTGGCCAAGGTCAGCAAGCCCTGGGTCATTCGTTCTAGCAAAGCAGGCCAGTTTGCCCTTTAATTATCTCTCCTTTTCATTTGGTCATACCTCTTGCTCCATAGATTTACTTCCTGAGAAGCACCCTGTGTGAAAGATGTGCTATTAGTTTTGTTGTGAATCCGAGGGAGGCATAGTATTTTTGTCATGGATTACTTAACTAGGTAACTGTTGAACTTTTTAATGCATTTACCTGACTGGATTGTATTTTCTTCTTAGCTAGTGCAGTAGTTTCTTGTTATTAAAATGTACAGGATTCTTAAACTTCAGAGTAAGTGGTATTTCTCTGGTAATGCAGATACTGTGGTGTGAAATGGTAAGTTGGTATGTGATTGCTAGAAACAGGGTTGTGAAATTCCTGAACTTCAGAGAGTTTTCAGTAACAGGTCTCAGAATGGGAACTTCGTTACAATGCCTGGTAGGGTTTGCTCGCATTAATAAGCTATGCAAAACAGTCAGTAGAAACACAGAGCTAAACATATGCTCATAGGCTGGATGTGGAAAATATTCTACAGTGGACATAATTTAGTAATAAAGAGAGAAAGGCAATGCTCTGTAAGCCCTAAGGAAAGGAAAACAGTGTAGTGAAATTACTTCTTTGCTCTGTAATGCTGTGTGGAAAGAAAGAAACAGGAAAGATGCATCACTATATCTGGAGGAACTGAATTGTCAGATTTTGGTTTCTATAAGGAAAAAAACCCAATTAAACTAAAGTGATCTTTAATTCATGCATAAAAGGTCACTCGGGAACAAGAAAAAAAGCCTACTTATGCCCAAACTGGGTTTATACAAAAATTTTGAAAGTGCCACAGATTGCAAGGCTATAATTAGCCTTGAAAACCTTGGGACAAAAGTTTCTTAAGTAGATTGTGAAATGATTTCTGAAAGAATAGAAACGGCCAGAAGGACTGGCAATCTCTTTGAGACAGAAGCATCCCTTTGGCAGGGGTAGTGAGAGGCAGAGATTGGAAAGGAGACTTACTTTCATCTGCAGCTTCACACAGTAAGCCACAATGCAAGAAGGAACAGAATAATTTGTTAGATGATGTGTGCAGGTGTTTTTGAAAAGGCAAAATCTTCTTGGCTATCTAAAATGGTTAAAATAATTTGTTGCCATGCCATCAGAGGAGTGACAGAGCAGCATGAAAGGGGAGCATGTGGTTTGGAAGAGGAGGACAGGCTCTTGTGGGGTGTCAAGCTGTTAATTAGCTGTGCCACAATATGAGGCTGAGTTGCTTGCTGTCCCTTAATAATTAAATTGTTAGAAATATGAAAACTTTGTGCTCTTGCAGCTGGGGAAAAGTGTGGTCTGTCACCTCCCTGGCTAGATGAACTTCAGTGCCTTCAGTCTGGTGCCTCCTCTGCTTTTCCTCTTATTTCAGAGGAGGAGGAATCATTTCATTGAACCTGCATTTTGGATGGAGCCAGCCCCCACATTTTGAGGGATCCCTCCAGAAGGTGATGGAGATGCTCTGTAGTTACGGTGAAGGAGCTTGGGGTGGAGTTTGGCCTCTTGCTTTGTCAGCAGAGGTGTCCAAAGCTCTTCTGGCTCAGATTCATTATGAACTCGGGAGACAGCCTCAGTTTGTTAACACATTTGAAAAGTACAAAAGCAAGTTCATTTCAGTGTACATCATCGGTGTTAGAATGGATTGACTTTTTCTCATTTAAATTAAGTTTTGTATTAAGCCACAAGCTTCAATTAAAATTTGGAAAGTTCTAAGTCCCTAGAGGAGATATTACTTATATCCATCCTGTGGATACAAGCAAATGAGGAACATTCTTCTCTAAATGTCTGCTTTTTAACAGTTAAAAAAAAAAAAATTGACATAACCAAAAATACTAAAAAAAAAACAACCGAACCAAAACAAAACAACAAAAACCCAAACCCCGAAAGATATGATTTTGTTGTAGAGTTAACTGGGGCATGGTTTCACTGCAAGAATAGTCTTTAGTAATTCCTGGGAATCATCATGCTGTGGGTCTGTATTTTACTCACTACTGCTTGAAGTTGATTTGATACCATTGATGAGAGAGATGAAATAATGTATGCTAAAGTCATTTGGCTGACCTTGAAATCAAAGTGCTGGAAACAAAATCTAGCTGCAAATCAGTAGGCTGTCATTCTTTTAAAACTTGTTATCCAAATGACTTTAACAGTTTGTGGGTCATATGCAAGGTTAAGAATCATCTTGCATGGTGCATGTTTTGATAATAAAACATGATTTTTTTTTTTTATTGGAATGGAAGTGTTACAGTCAACAGGATCGGTGTGGGAGCTTGATTTCTTCCTGCGAGAAGATTGCTACTCCATATGAGCAATTGGCACAAGGTTTAGAAAGACAGATATGAGGCTTGCCAACCAAAGTGTTTCTCATTTTTTGCATAGAGAGTATCTACTCTGTCTATATGGAGAAGCTCCAAAACTGTTCCATTTTTAAATTTATTTGCAAGTCAGAGTACTTATTTTTGAGTAAAACTCTCTAGGGTCAATACAACTGTAAGTAGATAGCATTTTGGTGAGGGGCTGAAACAGGTTAAACATTAATGCTTTATTCTATCAAGCAACATTTGTGTAACATATACATTGCTATCTACTTAAATAGTGAACTCAGGATTTTTGATTTTAAAATGCCTTTTCTTTCCATGTAGTTATTCAGGTTTGAGAAATCACTAACATGGAATGAGTTGTGTAACCATGTTAACTACTCATTTTACATAACCTCAGGCGTGTTCCATCCTGAAAAACTGAATAACACTTGACAGTCCAGTGTGGATTGAATCCCTCCGAAAGGTATCATTGTGTTTACCAGTATTGGCTGTTACGTATAGATACACTGTCCAGCTCACTGTGGAGTAAAATTTGGCAGTGTACATAGACCAGAGTAGCTTCAGAGAGAAATAAAAACCCATATTCCTCAATAGAAATTTGCAGGTATTTTTAATAGGAAACCCGTATTTACTGAAATAATATTTTTGTAAAGTTCCTTCCGAACCAATTGTTCACTTCATGTTTTTGATGGGTATAGATAGAGCCATTTACAGAGCCATTCAGAGGGTAGCTCACTCCCCATAATCAACTACTGCTCATGATGGATATTTTTTCCATTCAGACTAAAATTGATTATCTGAGGAGACAAAGAATGTTGAAAAAGCTATAGAATAAGGTGGAGGAACTCGTATGAGGTGAATAAGGTACCCTAAAAAGTAGCCTATAATTTACCTATACTAGCAATAGGTAGTATACTGCCTGTTGGTAGTATAGGTAAAATTCCCCACATAGTTAAGCATAGGGAAGGGTGAAGAGCAGCAGAACCACACACCTAAAATGACTTCTTTTAATTAAAACTTTGGAGTTTCCATGTGCTTAATACACTTGTTGATAAGTTACCATATTTCAAATCTAGATGTGACTAGTAAAAACAGTATATGGTGATTAAACTATAAATAACTGGATAGAGAGAACGACCCAGGATCAGAGGAGATACAAATAGCTCAGATGGATTCATATGTGTAACTTGAATTTTGAGAGGTTGGGTGTTCCTGTTTATTGTACAATAATCAGCCTGAGGAGTATTATAAAAATATAGATGGAATAAGGAGTGACTTTTTGATAATTTCATGTGGCTTGGTTTTGCTGATACCAGACAACAGACTGGTATCAGCAAACTTTGTTGTTGGGGATTTCCTTAGGTTTAGCCTAAACTTTAGGAGCAGTCAGTCCTAAAGGCTATTACATCCCACCTGTGCCTGTGCCTTCATATGTTTTAGTGCTTAGCTTCCCTACCTAGAATGTGATATGGTTTGGAGATGCCTGATGGCTTCTCCATCAGAGAAGGTTATGAAGTTATCTTTTGTATTGTTAGTCAAAGCTGAAATTCAATTTGCAGCAGCAAGAAGCAGAGTTCTCTAAGCTATTCTTGAGAGTTTGACCATTATTATGTTCTTAGACCATGGCAAATGGACTAGCTAACAGGTTAGTGTAAACATTTTAATATATAATAAGGAGGTAATTAAATCAATTTTTCTTTTTCAAAGTAGTCAACTCTTATTGCAACCATCTGTCTGATGTTTTGGAGATTCATTTAATTGACTGCTCTATGTGATGTTCCTGATTTTAATGGCTGAATCAATGAGCAATTGAGCAAACTATTCTCATTTATCTAGAGGCTTTCTTTTAGCTGTGAGGCTCTGTTTGCAAAAGTCGAATGGTTATGGCACTTGCTTTGTTATCCTTTTATTCAGTGCTTCAAAATGGAACTTGCATGTTTCAGGGCTGGATTTCAGAGTGGAAACCATAAGCTTCTTGCTTGTATAACCACATTCCAAGGTTAGTCTGAATAGCTGAGATAATGAATTTGGTCTTTGTGTATTCTTAAATAGATAGATAGTTTTTCACATATGTGACTTTTTTTGCTACAATTGGACGCTTTCCTTGGGAGCTGCCTAGTTCCAGGCTGCACAGTTTCTGCTTTGTTCTCTGCTCTCATGCCTGCGACAAGAATAACTTAACCAGATTTCAATATAGGAATTGTGGGCCGCTAAAGGACGTATTGTGTTACTGCTTAATGCTGTATAAGTTGATCAGTGGGTAATATAAAGTCTATGTTTTAGCTGTTTTATGATGAAAATATTATTTCAACAGAATACATGGTAAAGTCATTGAACAGTGATCTTATTCTCAGAATGATGGAACAAGGTATTTTCCATATACCAGAAGTTAGTAGAGCTGCTCATTTTGTTCTTGCAGGCTTCAAAAATAAAGCTATTTTTAGGCTTTTCTGAGCAGTTGTGCATTTTTTTAACTGAAAAAATATCTTCTTTGTTTCCTTCTATTAGGACCAGCAGAGGTTCCCATGATGTCACCCAATGGATCCATTCCCCCTATTCATGTGCCTCCTGGTTATATCTCGCAGGTATGCTTTTTGAAGATTTAAAATTATGTAAGAGCAATAACATGAATCCATTTAGGCAGGTCTACTTGGTAGAAGTTTCATTTATAAATATTAATGAGAACAGTAATACATTTTCATATTCTGCCTCTTTACTGACAGTAGAATCATAGAATCATAGAATAATTAGGGTTGGAAAGGACCTTAAGATCATCTAGTTCCAACTCCCCTGCCATGGGTAGGGACACGTTACGCTAAGTCATATCACCCAAGGCCTCGTCCAGCCTGGTCTTGAACACTGCCAGGGATGGAGCATTCACAACCTCCCTGGGCAACCCATTCCAGTGCCTCACCACCCTAACAGGAAAGAATTTCCTTCTTATATCCAATCTAAACTTCCCCTGTTTAAGTTTTAACCCATTACCCCTCGTCCTATCACTACAGTCTCTAATGAAGAGTCCCTCTCCAGCATCCCTGTAGGCCCCCTTCATATACTGGAAGGCTGCTATGAGGTCTCCACGCAGCCTTCTCTTCTCCAGGCTGAACAGCCCCAACTTCCTCAGCCTGTCTTCATACGGGAGGTGCTCCAGTCCCCTGATCATCCTCGTGGCCCTTCTCTGGACTTGTTCCAACAGTTCCTTGTCCTTTTTATGTTGAGGACACCAGAACTGCACACAATACTCCAGGTGAGGTCTCACAAGAGCAGAGTAGAGGGGCAGGATCACCTCCTTTGACCTGCTGGTCACGCTCCTTTTGATGCAGCCCAGGATACAGTTGGCTTTCTGGGCTGTGAGCACACACTGAAGCCGGCTCATGTTCATTTTCTCATCAACCAACACCCCCAAGTCCTTGTCCGCAGGGCTGCTCTGAATCTCTTCTCTGCCCAACCTGTAGCTGTGCCTGGGATTGCTCCGACCCAGGTGTACACATACATTTGCACAACTGAGCACACATGTGCACCTTCACACTCTGGTATGTATACCAGTTTTATTTATAACACTAGCAAACGGTATGCATGTAGATTGAGCCTATATATATATGCAACTTCTTTCCCTTTGTTGGTCATACTTTAAGTTCTAGTGTGACAGCTGGAAGGGATAGGGGATGGTGGAAATCAGAGGAACCACTGTAGCTATAAAATATGCTGTTGATCCTCAGTATCTTCCCACCAGAAATCCTGCAGCATATCCAGAACTGGGAGGGTTTGCTTTGTTTTCAAGAATAAATGTGATTTAATTATCAAGTTATGGAAAAATCTTTTCACTAATCTATTTTGGAACTCTTGAACAGCTACTGCTTTTCTATGTGCCCTTCCTTCCATCTTCTGCAAATCATAGACTCTTTCTGCAGGAATAAAAAAAAAAGTAATGGTTGATGTAAGGCAGTATAGCTGTCAACGATACAATAAATCCAGTACCTTCATTACTTTCTTTGAGATCTGGACTGGACTGAAAACTTCATTTAAAGTATACAAAGTAATTAAAATATCCTTGCTGAATAGTGTAAGAACCTTTGATACATATATTTTGGCATCTTGTTAAATAGAAAATAGATGATGTCCTAGAATCCCTTCCCCTTCCCAGGAAACGTGAGCTTGTGTAATTCTGAAAAATTGTGGATGGCGTCATACTTAAATCCCACAAAACACTGCAATTGCTCTGTGGTATTTTAACCTCTGAACAGAGTGAAAACAATACAGGGGACACTGCGAGCCACCCTAGGAAAGAGAGCAGGTTAGCTGGTGGTCTAGCTTCCTCCTGCTCCTCGAGCGTCCCAGGTTGAGTGGTTGGGGTATGCTTTGAGGCCACATTTGTAGTTCTGCTGAATACGTAGTGTTTAATACTCCTCATGGGCTTGCCTAATTTAATAAGCTGACCCTTGTCATGCAAAGAAATGTTTTTAAAGATTTATGCTTCCTTTGAAATAAATTTAACACCTTTTTATTATTAAAATGTTTATACTTCTCAGCCCCTCTATTGAGATGAGTGCTTGGGGTGTAATGGAAATGCTTTACAAACCAGAGTGATGAAAGTCTTCCAGTTGTATCTCTGTCTGAACCCAGTTCCTCTTTAATGCTTTTGGTGCGGTACCATTATAATTCCACTAAAGCCCTTAAGTAGTTTCTTAACCAAAAAATCCCCAACCAAAAACCCTCTTCTGAAAAAATTTTTCTGACAAGCTGGAATATGTTGTAACGTAGTCAATTTATAACTTTCATATGTTGTAAAGTTTTAGGGGAAAAGCACTGTATGCAGTGTTTTTAGGCAGCAGAATATGTGTTATGATGTCTGGCAAGTGAGCCTCTTGCCTTTCAGACAACTTTGTATTAAATGGCATTTGAAAGTGTGAGTAATCAAATTAGTTCTTATTGTAGTAATTGTTTCTGCCTTTTTTTGCTCTTGCTCTCGTCTACTACCTCAAAAGTTAAAATCTCTATGATAAACAATGAAAACAACTTAAATTCCGAATTGCAAAGGAAAGGCCATAAAGCAAATCAGTGCACTCAAAATACATTTGATTTTTGTGTTTGATTTGTCTCTGAAGTATACATCTAAGAGTCAGGCAGACAGCAGGTGTCCCTACAGAGAAATAGAGGCAAGATATCTTTTTTTCCATTTTGTTTTACCAAGCCTGTTGGAGCTGCAAGTATTAGCCTCAAATATCACAGTAGTTTATGTGGTGAATGCAACCCTGGATTAAAATAGTGCTTCATTACCTCTTTGGTATTGTGAAAGTGATCAGCAAAAAAATGGCAGGAGGTTGCCTGCCCTGCAAGATCAGCCCCATGGGAAGCAGCAGAAAAATAGTTAAACCCTTTTGCAAGATTTCAAGGACCATATTAGTAGTTGTGACTAGAAGCTGGGTTTGTTGACGTTAAGATGTTCCCAGTGATGAGGCTTAGCCGGGGTGGGAAAAAATCCAGGGAAATAATAAAAGACAAATACACACTATCAGTTCAGATCTTTCATGCTATAGTTTTGCTTTCAAAGGCCAGTTCGATACAACCAGTTACTATACATTTCCTTTTCAGCAGACAAACCTCTTTGTACCTCTGGCAGATATGAGCTACCAGATCAGAGATGATGTCTCTGCAATTCTTTGTTGGCTAATAGTTACTTAAATGTAAAAGAGAGAAAAAGTTCCTTGCCATGCTCTTGGTGAACAATACTACTACTGTAGAAGTTGTGGAAGGTGGAATGGCTGTATTTAATGCGTATGATGTCAGCAATTCAAACAAAATGTTGAATGTTGAAGGAGCAGCTCCTATGACTTGTCAGGAGCCAGACACAACCTGTTAATGCCCATTCCAGTTCTGAGCTGTGAACAGAGCTGCTTCCCTGCTAAGTGAGTCCTATGGGGCAGACTGTGAGCTCACCCTTTGCTGAGATGTCCACTAGAGGCTTCTTGCCATTGGGATCTGTGGCCCGATGCCTCCTTCTGGCTTCCAGAGCACTCTAGCTCCCTGGTGTTGGCATAATTTGAAGATTAAAGGTCATGATTTGGATGCTAAGCTATTATATTTGAGGACATCCTCATGGGTTGTTTCTGCTTTTCTCAGTATATGTTTGGGAAAAGGGAAGGAGTATTTGGGGTGTTCTAATGACTAGAACTAGAAAAATGGAAATGTCAAAAAGCACAGTGATGAACTTGTTTGCTTAGGGCTATTGGCTGAGGACTGCTCTCTCAAATCTGGAGCCATTCCACTGGAGTTTGAGGAATAACTCGTGTAGTTGGACATGAACATCTGGCATGGATCTCCACTTTTGATTTTATTTACAGAGTTGTTAATATGTGATCTTTGTTACAGGTATTTTAAGGCTAAAAGACTAATTTACCGCTTGGAGCATGAAGTACATATAGTGCTGATTAGGCAACTTTTGTCAGGAAGTAAAGTTGGGGTCATACAACTGAACTATACAACTCAAGCCATGGTCCTGCAGTTCAGTATTCCTGTGTGAAGCACATAGGATTTGACAGAACCAAAGTATAACTTCTAAAAAGAGGAAGGTATTTAAAGTGGTAGAAAATGCATCATATCCTCAGGACTCAGGATTTTGGTCTTTGGGTAGAGGATGTATCCAAGAGAGGTGTTTTTCTTCCAAACTGTCTAGCGTATGCTTTTAGCCACAAACTGGTTTTGTATGGCTTACTGCTCTCTGTGTGTTTTGTAGACTGTGATCAATCAAGTCATTCTTTTAACATGGTGGTCATCCTAATACTCTGAATACAAGGAAGATTGTGCTCATCTCAAGCAAACCATAAAGTGAGGATTGGTCTTGAAGATCTGTATCATTCTAAATTTGAAATACCCAACATTCTTGCCAGCATTATAGATGTTCAGCTGTTTAATTTCCAGGTTCAAGGTACAGATTTAATATTGGTGCTTGTATGTGATGGATGGCAAAGATAATGATGCAGACTTCCCAGGGCTGGTGTGTTTGAATTGGCATCCTTAAGAAATTAAGTGAGTAAATAAAATGTTGACATCCAAGTTCCTTGAGGGTGAGCTCATTCTGTATTGTTTCTGGTACAGATTGGTTTATGAATGAACTTTCAAACTAGTTTATGTACTGGTTTTCGCCAACCAGTGGCCGTGCACCAGGTGTCCTTGCAGAATCTGGTAAACTAAATGAAATAAGAACTTTTAAATTTTTTTATTTTGAAGTGGGAAGTTAATTGTATAATACCATATTACACCCATTCAGTAAATGTGCATGTTACGGAATGACAGTGACTGTATTCCTTTAACTGGAAACTTACAAAATATAGGTACAGTTTACCTGTGCAAAATTAATATGCCTGTGTAGTACTAAATTTCAGTGGAGAAAAATGTGAAAATGTGGGGTAGTAATGTACCTTGAATATGGGAATTATCTCTAGTTACACTGAGTTTTGATTGCTGCAGCGATACCCTTAATGTAAAGCAAATAACATTTAAAATGGTATTCTCAAAATATGGCAACTGACGGGGGAGGCAATTTTATTGTGTATGAGTAATGTTTACTCAGATTCTCCTGAAAGATCATTTATCTACCTCACTCAGCAATTAAGCTCCCTAAAATACAGAAAAAAATACACTGAACTATGCTATAAGAATACTCTTATTGAGGCAGCATGCCAGTCACACCTGCAAGCACAAAAAATAACAGCAACAGACAATTTACCTAGTAACTGTATACAAAATAAAGTTTAGCTCTAGGTGCCAGAGGACGGGAGATCTTTCTTTTCTGTAAATATAAACTGCTAAAAACAGCAATACCAATCACTTTTAATATTCTAATTGCATCCGGAGACCTCAACAGGGATTGGGGTTTCATTGCTGCTTGGCACTGAAGTAGAGGCAGTTTAGAAGACAATGTGTTTCCTGATTAATTTATGATCTTCATGACAAACGGCTTTAAGCAGATACAAAGAACTGCAGATTTCTTCTTTAAATAGAAAAGTTTTTCCTCTCTGCAAATTTACTTTATTTGCATTAATGGATCAAAACTAATTGCTCTATCTTTGATGAATTGAAAGAGTGTCACCTCCCAGAATGGCACTGCTACAATCTACCCATTGCAAGTTCTATAAATCAAGAGATATCTACAGACTTAACCCATGATGGTTTTGTAGTTATCTAATGCATATAATAAATGATACATTGCATTGCCAATTTAATGGACTGTTAAGGACTGAATACCGTATTTAAAGATTATATGTGATTGTAAGTTCAGGAGGAAAATGCCCTGTAGAATAAGGAAATGAAGTCTTAGGGTCTCCTGTGTTTTTGTCTTCATTTGGAACATGGGCACATGAAGTAGCAGGAATGCTGTCAGCATTTGTGGCCTGGGAGGAAACAAATAGAAGATACTGGTCTCTTAGCTTTTTGCCCAAAGTCATGTGGAAGGCTCGAAAATACTTTGAGTTGGAATAGATTATCATTGTAGGTCCCTTCTAATTGAAATACTCTATTCTATCCCCTCATCTGCATCTTTTCTCTCACTACTGCTGATATTTTAGTCTCATCTAGCAGGATGGTTTCATCAGAAGGGTCTTTGACGGGACTTCAAGCTTTCCTCCCTGCTTTTTAGAAGATAGGTCAGGAAGAGGAATCTTTAATTTTAAATACGGTTTACGTTATGTGGTGCTACAGTGCAAGCTTTCTGTCTAAATCTGTTCCTTAACGTATTCATCTTTCTTTAGAGATCAAAATACACATGTAGTCTGGTCTATATGCACAAATAAGAGCTTGTACCCTCCTGCAAGGCTGAAGTTTTCTTTGAGGCTTGGACTAGTTAAAGTCGTAATGAAAACTTTTCACATCAGGGTGTAGGAACTTGCTTTCTCAAATGAGAGCATGATCCAAGCCTCAGAGAGTTAAGTTGAGCACTTCTGTGCACCATCCTAAATAAGTAGTTCTGGTTTTCAAATATTTGCTGAATGGAAAAGGATTTTTCTCTTCTCCGGGTTTCAGAGTGCAAGTTTGAGACCTGGTACCAGGATAAAGATGCTGTGGAGGCTGAACCAGTTGAAAACCAGTAACAGAGATGGGAGGCCAGAAAGTGCAGCAGTTAAAATGATGTGAGAGTCTACATCTCTGAGTTTCAGCTGTCTTTGAGGACTCTGTCTTCAAAATGTAAAGCTAGCAGATGACAAATTGCTAGCTGAAGTTGTAAATTTACAGGTTAGGATCAAGTGTGCTAAACAATTCCTATCCTGGTTATGCAGCGTAGGAAGCAATGCATTTTTTTTTCTTTTTTTTTAATGTAAAATATCAGTTACAAAAGAATGAATTGACTTTCTATAGAAAATTTTCTTCTGTAGGAGGCCAGCCAATCCACAGAAGTTGTGTCCATGGTTGCAGCCCATAGCTAACAGACGTAAATTCATATAACCTAAGGACACACACAGACTAGGGAAAGAATTGGGTCAGCTAATACTAGTTAAATTTTACCCTGTGCTAACTTGCTTAGCTGATGCTTGAGGCAGCAGTGCTTGTGGCTGTGGGCATTGACACTTAGACAGGGCTCATCTCTTTCACCAAGGTCAGCAGAAACAATTATGTGCCCATGCCAATCCTTTACTTCAAGGTATATCAGCATTAGCAAACTTTAATTTGTGCTTTAGGCTAAGATACTAGTGTGACAAGCATCACTGGAGGATGGGGTTCTGTAGAAGGGTCTCTTCTGCTGATGCTCCTATGGGGTGGAGTAAATAACTACAGCTCAGGTTGCTGGTAAACAGTGGAGAGTGGCAGCATCTTATTGCACATGCCCTTGATGCACATTCACTTACCTCATACAACACATTCATCACGTATATTATACCATCTGTGTGTCATCAGTCAGTGTAGGAAAAAAAAACCCAGATTTTTAACAGCCTTTTTGTTGTACAAAACTAACTTACGTTTCCTTCATGCTTTTCTACTTTATGCGCGTTAATGCACAGAATCGAAGATAGTAATAGTTCTTACACAGTTGTATTTTTAAGTTCCAGAAATGGCAGAAGTTTTTTGACTAAGCTTCAAGAAAGGCTTGGCTCCTAAGCCTGGACTGAAATTTGGCTGATTGACTGTTCTCCAGAAATATAGCTCTGGAAAAATTATAAGCTGAAAAACATTTTTCAGTTTAAGCACATTTCCACCTTCCTACATCTGTTTTTACATGCTTTGACTGTGGCATTTGGGGCCAAGTTATGCATATTCCAGAGCTGATTTGCAGGGACGTATAGACTAGCTCTGTAGCAGAAAAACTTTCTGCCCTCTGATTTGTCTTGAACAGATACCTGTTGTGAACAGAGCAATTATTTTGAAAATGTGTGTCAACACAACAGCTTCTTGCAGAGTGCCTGTCTCTGCACACACACAACTTATCCACAAGAGCAGTGCCAGCTGATTTCCAAGTGTTACTAATTCCATACGCACAGTTCTGTCAAAATTGGTGGTAGGAATTTTATGGGCAGAATGTAAGGTTGGTCCCAATGAGTACTCTTATTTTGGTGCTTTGTGTTCCTTTTTCAATTGTCTTATTCCCTAAATACAGGTTATCTATTTTGTTTCTTACCCACATAGTTATCACTAGCAGCAGTAAGTCTCCTGGTGATTAGTGTGGTTGTCCGAGTCTCCAAGAAAAGCCACATCACCACTATGATTACTTCTGCTGATATTAATTTTAGAAATGTGTTTATTAATAAACCTAAGGACCAACCGTTTTCTAGTGGGAGAAGAAACAGTAAATACTGCTTGTGTTAAAAATATGTTTGGTTCAGATGCTGTATAACATGCTCATTTCCCTGCCTTCCCTTCCAGGTGATAGAAGACAACACTGGTGTTCGGAGGGTGGTGGTAACCCCTCAGTCTCCGGAGTGTTACCCTCCTAGCTATCCTTCAGCCATCTCTCCAACCCATCACTTACCTCCATATCTGACACACCATCCCCATTTTATTCACAACTCTCATACAGCATTTTATCCTCCTGTCACTGGACCTGGGGACATGCCACCACAGTTTTTCCCACAGCATCATCTTCCCCCAACAATATATGGAGAACAAGGTGAGCTGGAAGGAAGGTACTGGCATTTCAGACCTGCGTTTAGCAAGTTTTAAGGGCTAATGAAACCAAGAGCAGAAATTGGAAAACTTGGCTTTCTCTCCAGAACAGGGGGGTGTAGCCCTCCAGAGTGCAGCAACACAGGGCAGTTCTATGTTGCGACATTTAAGTTGCAGAAAACAAAATCCCACCAATTTTAGCTTAATTTGTAAATAAAGTGTGGAAAAAAATGTCTCATCCCATCTCCAAACTAGGGGCATGAGTCATGGCAGTTGCTCTTGCTGCGTCACGATGCAACACTGTACAGAAAACCCAGAGATTAAATGTGTTAGTCCTGGCTTGGGAATGAGGATGGATAGAGAGGGCTGAATCCAAGCATGGCTTGCCATGGTAATTTCCAGTGGGAAAACCCTGATACCACTTCCTGTTGGCTGTAATGTGTTTTCTGCCCCCCCCCATGGTTTTCCAAGAAACAACAGGCATTTTGTGTTTGTTATTCTCATTGAGGCTGTGCAGTAAGTCACCGAAAAGCACTGTCCAATACCAGAGGGTAGCATGGCACTCCTAATCAGGCCATGAGTAAATAATTGCAAGAAAAGGAGTGAAAAAGGCATATTTCTGTCTGAACTATGCACTGTTGTGTCTCTGCCACCCTGGAGAGAAGTCTTTGTGTAATCTGGAAGACTGCGTTAACAAAAAAAAGGAATCTGCAAAGTCATGTGAGATGTTTAACATGAAAATCAGTTCAGGATTCATGGATTTACATTGCTGCCAACCTGCCTGGACTTAAGAACCTTTCTAAAGAATATATTTATGCCGTATCACCAGAAATAAGTTTTTGCTGGAGCGAAAAGGAAAAGGCAGAAAGAGGAGGAAGTATCTGTTGATGCTACCTCTTGAAGTTTCTGTTGGCCACAGACCTAATGAGGAATGAACCCTTACAGCTGACATTTAACTTCATTATACTGGGTGAGTGGGAAGTGGGTAGCTCAGGAAAACAGTAGGACTGTGTAGCCAACTAGATACATAGGGAAGGGACTTTTCCCTTTGAAAGGGAACAGGACAGTCTATTAGATTGCTTTACAAAGTCTTGCATGCAAAAGTTTCAGTGTGCAAAGTGAACACAGAGCTTCTAGTTAAGTAAATGTTGAATATTTCTGTAGCCTTGAGATACCAAGAAAGCAATTCAACTTAAAAATAGAACAAAAATCCTGGGTTGCTTTCCTAGAATGACCTATACATGTGACACTGAAACAGCTGAAGTGGTGAATATTGTACCAATGAGTATTAACCCACCATTTCGCAGTTGCTGTACAATGGCTTATGCTTTAAATAAAGATTGAATTTATTTGCAGCATGCTGGTTGCTGTAAGAATACAGATAGAATCATGTAGCTAGATAAGGAAAGACAATGGCCAAGACTCACTGAAATAGCAAAGAAAATATGGCTAGTTGAAACAACTTGGAAACTTACAGTATACATGGCAATCTCAGCCTACAAACAAGACTTCAGGTGGCTGGATAGGATGTTTGCTTCAGAAGTTTGTACAATAACTTCTGAGTGGATGTAGGAAAAAGAAAATACATGAAGTCTGTATCAAGTATTAATTGTTGTTTTTCTAACAAAGGAAAAACTGTTGTTTTGGTCATTAATTTGTTCGAGCTCCAGACTCAAAGTGGAGTGAACTATAGAGAAAAGCAGAAAATGGTCTGAGTCCTGAAATCTGACCTGCTTTACATTAAAGATAGTCATTCTTCTAAGAGGGAGGTGGGGCTTGTGTTTAAGTGTATCTGAAGCGTACGTATTATATTTATAAAGTTTCTCAAGCTTTTGTTATACAGTTTTACTTACCCAAAGCTTCTACATCATCCTGCGCTTCTCTCCTTAGGCAGGCACAATTGACATGATTGTGAAGTCTATTTATACTGGGAAATTAAATTGCATGTAATCACTGGTGGGAGCTTGAAACCAGGGCATCTCAGCTTATTCTGTCCAGTCAGGTGCTGGGGAACAAACGGCTAAATTGCTGTGAGCTTCTGAAGGCTTTTTCCTAAATAGCAGTCTCCCTGGATCTTTGCTTGAAATCTGTGTCCTTTGAAACACTAAGACTAAAAATAGGAAAAACTATCACCCTAATTGCTGTATTTTACACATCCAAAGAGTTATGATATCCTACCAGCAAAGGAGCATGCTTAAAAAATTGTCAATCCTTCAGAGAAGTTTTCTTAAGAAAAAAAATTGGTTTGCTGTAAAATCTGACAACAGGAAAATCTGGAGTCATTTAATTTAGAGATGGTCAGGAATTCGAGTTTCTGAAAAAAAAAAAAAAAATCAGTGATTTTGTCATTCTGAGTTAATGTGGGTGAATTCTTCTGTTCCAGAAATCATACCACTATATGGGATGTCCAGCTATATTACCAGGGAAGATCAGTACAGCAAACCACAGCACAAAAAACTCAAAGACAGGCAGATTGATCGCCAAAACCGTCTGAATAGTCCTCCTTCATCCATCTACAAAAGCCATATAGGCAGCTGCCCAACTGTATATAATGGTTATGCAAAGAGTCACAATGGAGCAAGCAGTGGAGGTGGCGGCGGGGGGGCTCCAGTAGTAAAGAAGCCGGAACGCAGAGCAAGAAGCAGCCCAAAGTCAAATGAACAAGACCCACATGGTAAAGACAGTTTTATTTATTTTTAATTCCTTTTTATTGCACCTTTCCGGCTTATGACTGCCTGTATTCGGATTTAGTAACTAAGCCAAAAAACACTGCCACCCACACATAAAGACAGTGTTAATACAGTGTGAACTTAACTATAAACGTTGAGCTTGCTATACTATATTTGTTTTGTAAGATGAACTTGTTGCCTCCCCATCTTTCTTGACTACTCTCTGCTAGATGCAGCATCATTCTCTTTTTATCTGTTGGACAGAAGTGCCTTTTATGGCCAAGTTCTCGGTTTTATTTTACATTTCATACCAGTGTTCTTGGCTCTTCACAAAAATCTTTACAGGCAGTTGAGCTGTAACCAAAACCTGACTACTAGATATTGCTACTTTGCATCTCCTGGGTAAATGTAGTAAACTTATTAGAAACCTTAGAGATACTTGCTGAAAAAAGCAAGATTGTTTATGTGAAAGTTCAGTGTAAATATGGTTAGTTGAAACAGAAGAATTTTGACAAAAAATTGGTTAATCTTAGCCACTGGAATTAGTAGTCAAATAAGTCTGTCTACTTTTGAAATAATGTCCTTCAGCATTTTCAGAGGCATGCCATTTAAAAATTTGAAACTTTATAGTAAAACATTAAGTTATTCATCTAATTAAATTTCATTTATCATGACCCATTCTGTACATAGCCAGTTCTACCTATATTTAGCTCAGTAACTTGTTATAATATGTTAATACTTCTCGGCCTTTCTCTTCTCTGCCTGTCTCTTTGCTGACTGCTAAAGCTGCTGCTTGCTGAACAAACTTTTATGTAACAAGCAAGCTTAGGCCCAGCACATCTAGGTTATTTAGAATCACAGAATCACAGAATCCTAAGGGTTGGAAGGGACCTCAAAAGATCATCTAGTCCAACCCCCCTGCAAGAGCAGGATAACCTAGAGTACATCACACAGGAACTTGTCCAGGTGGGCCTTGAATATCTCCAACGTAGGAGACTCCACAACCCCCCTGGGCAACCTGTTCCAGTGCTCTGTCACTCTCACAGTAAAGAAATTTTTCCTGATGTTCACATGGAACCTCCTATGCTCCAGTTTACACCCCTTGCCCCTTGTCCTATCACTGGACATCGCTGAAAAAAACCTAGCTCCATCATCCTGACACTCACCCTTTACATATCTGTAAACATTGATGAGGTCACCCCTCAGTCTCCTCTTCTCCAAGCTAAAGAGTCCCAGCTCCCTCAGCCTTTCCTCTTAAGGGAGATGTTCCATTCCCTTAATCATCTTTGTGGCTCTGCACTGGACTCTTTCAAGCAATTCCCTGTCCTTCTTGAACTGAGGGGCCCAGAACTGGACACAGTATTCCAGATGAGGCCTCACCAAGACAGAGTAGAGGGGGAGGAGAACCTCTCTTGACCTACTAACAACACCCTTTGTAATGCACCCTAGGATGCCATTGGCCTTCTTGGCCACAAGGGCACATTGCTGGCTCATGGTCATCGTCCTATCCACCAGGACCCCAGGGTCCCTTTCCCCTTCATTACTGTCCAGCAGGTCAGCCCCCAACCTGTACTGGCACATGGGGTTGTTCTTCCCCAGATGCAAGACTCTACACTTGCCCTTGTTGAATTTCATCAAGTTCCTCTCCGCCCAGCTCTCCAGCCTGTCAAGGTCTCGCTGAATGGCAACACAGCCCTCTGGTGTGTCAGCCACTCCTCCCAGTTTAGTATCATCAGCGAACTTGCTGAGGGTACATTCAGTTCCCTCATCCAGGTCGTTGATGAAAATATTAAACAGCACTGGTCCCAGCACCGACCCCGAGGGACTCCATAATGTGGCACACTTTGAAACCATTTGCGTAAATTTATGTATACAACATAAAACATAGGCTTTCTGTTACCTATATATTGTGTGTATTTATTTGGTGTGTACTTTTACTTGTGAGACCTGAGATAAATACTCATGAAAAGTAGCTTAATTGATAGCTGAAGGGGGGAAAAAATGCTGCTGGCATGGTAAGGAATGAGAACTTGCAGCCGTGCTTTGGGGTCTTTAGAATTGGCAAGGAGCTGTATTTAGGAATGCTTTCATTCAAGAAAATGAATCACTGCATTAGACTTCCTGATTATGTCGTGTCAGTCAGCTTATATGACCTTTAATATTCTTATTTATGTTTAGCTATTTTTATTTTCTCTAGTTCATGGTGGGATACATGAGGTGCTTGGGAGCACCTTCATGGAAGACCTGGAATAAAGTATAGCATCGGCTTAAGAGCTGAACCGCTCAATGTAGCTTCAGTAGGTACCGAGTCAGCATGTATGATCAGATTTAATTTGAAAGCATTAGTTTGAGGGTTTCTTGAAACCCTTGTGTTTGTCTAATCTTTTTCTCTTGGTGTAGTCTTCTGTGCTCCAGCTAACGAGCATGAGCGCTCTTAAAATGACTTGGTGAAGTTAGGGCAATGGTGCATCCAGTCTGTCAGCCAGAGAATGCCTTAAAACTGGAACAGCAAGTGACAAGAGTCTTCCCCCAGACTGTGGAAAAAGTTCATAAGAGGAGAAGGTGGAAATAAGCATCAGTTGTCCCACCCTCTTGATAAATCCAGCTCACTCGTGTTTTAAAAATAGGTTCTGCATCTGCGCCCGAAGATGGCAGCTCATCCCACTGTCAGACTGCTCTACAGAGGATACATGGCCAAAGCAGGAATAGGAGAATTTTCTTCATATTAAAAGAAATGAAAAATACTGTGGGCTCAAATTTGAGGCTTTTCACATCAAAGCCTATTCTTATACATGTATACCTATACGCATATTTCTGCAGAAAGGTTGTCACAGAGCTTTTGTAAGGAATCTCTCCAAACAATGCCCTAAAATAAGTTCCCACTTGATATTTATTAGCTCCTAATTAGACGCAGGACATTTTACCTTCTCTGTTTCTTCTTGAATTATTTGGGGTTTTATTGATTGATGCCTGATATCATGGCCATGCAGGTAAATTGGGGTGAGAGTTAAAAGCAGTCTGGGAACAGTTGATGATTTTTACTCATGTTGCTAAGATGACAGTGTGTTTGGAATAGCCAAGAAAAGGAATGTGTCAGAAACAACAAGCAGGAAATGCATTTAAACTTACACATTCCGTGGGTGTGTATCAGTTCAAACCTGCTAATAGTTAAAAAATTTACAGTGCTATGTGGCTGCTTCCAAAATTGCTGAATAGCCTGGAAAAACTATTATTTATATATATATAAAATACATAAGGAATAAGAGTATTTAGAAAACTTGTAAGATGCAAGTAGGAAATGTGATTTAGAGTAAAACAAAGTGAAGCAGAACTAGAGGGTTTATTTGCATGCATTTCTTAGTTGGGATTGTGATGTGTTTTCTAGTATATCATTTCATATTTGGTTGGGGTTTGTGTGTGTGTGTAATAGTAGCTGGCATGCTTACTTCAGGTGGTTGGATGTCAGAGCAATCCAGTGTGCCAGCTCCTGACAAGCTGCTGTCACCGAAACGGTCTTGCTGCTGCGCTGCCTGCCAGGGAGCGGGCTTTGGGAGCCCTGTACACAGCCGGGGCAGGCACTTGCACAGCCTGAGTTTTGGACTGGGCTTTTCGGAAGCAAAGCATTGGAAGCTGCCTTGGTGCTGGGAGCATGGGTAGGAGCTTGCCACTGGCAGATGGCATCTCGCCCAGTACTGGGTATGCACCGGCAGTCCCAGCCACTCCTGAGCCAACGCTTTGAAAGGCAATTTGAATGTCTGTTTTAATCGGTGGAGGAACATGATCTGCACAGTGTGATGGGGAGGCGGAATATAGGCATTTCTTTCCTTGGATCTGCTACCCCTGTATTCAAGCAAATGGTTGTCCTGCTTCTTGTTTCTTGGTAGTAATTTCCTTGAGGGGCGTGTTGCTCCTTACTGAGCACCGTTTTTATAGAGTACTGTAACATTAATATTGAAGAAAATGTCCTGTGTACAATGCAAGGACAGCTACACTTTTTTTCCCTGAAAAGGTTTGGTGTAAATCAAAGGGCATGAGATATTTAAGTTAACAATGTACATTTCCATCAAAACATACACTCACTGCATGTATTATCTTCATAACATTTCAGTAAGTAGTCAAGGAAAATTCTGCCATATGTCAATAATTTACTGTCTCCTTCCAATATTAAAAGAACCAGGGGTTTCTTGAAAAGCTGATTCAGCACTGATGGAATAAATGGGGTGGTAACATCATCCGCAGTACTAAAATAAAGGACTCTAGAGTACTCTTGGTTCCATCACCTCTTTAGTTGTGTATCCAGCACATACTCCTCTATGCCACTCTGTGCTATGTACAGCGTAATGGTAAAAATGCGTTGGTGGTTCTATTATGCTAGCCCTATAACATAGCATCACAACCTCTTTTTGTTGGGAAATTGCAATTTCATTGTGGGAATATAAGTGCAATTCCTCTACCCTTTTCATGGCCAGAATTGTGTCTTTATACTGGGAGGTGCTCTTGTAAATAAAGATTTTTAGTTATGTTGGATGCTGGAAATATATATTTTAAGGCAAAAAAAAAGGAAAAGTGATGGCTTATAATTGTCTGAAAAGTTAGCAACTATTCTAAGTGATAGGATGGGTGGCTTCTTGTACAGGCTGGAAACTTGGAAGTGTGATGTAGGGATTCTGATTTAAAATCCCATACAGTAGCTCTTCTGCAGAGCTGTTTTAAAAACTGAATGGGAGATGAGGGAGCCAGGTTGATTTTTGTTTTATTTTAATGAAGGAGCCTTGCCATGTATAAAGAGCTGTAAGAGGAAATCCTGTCCCATTCATGCTGTCCTTTATGAATTTCAGTCTGAGTCACTTCCTTCTTATGCACTCAGTGGTTCACTTCTTGGTCATGTAGTGATCTGGTAGTTTGAGATGTTTGTGTGTGGCTGCAAGTACTGTGGGAACATAAGCAGTTTTGAGCATTCTTACAATACTTTTGCTAATAAAACATCTTTTTTCCTTCAAATGAG